ATATTAATTGTCCCATTAATTCTTATGTATAAGAACAGAACTGATTTTGAGTATTTTGTTGTTCAAATAAATTGTAGCAAATAAGAAGATTGGAGTATTTGAATTTAAAATAAAAACAATAATGGCTTTTCCTTCGATTTTTCATTACATATTTCTTCTGAGATGATTAACCTGCATTTAAATATTTATCTTGTTTTTTTTCCCATAAAGTAGCCTGTGCAACTGCCAATTCTGTGTTGAACTATTCACTTGATAAATAGGACTCGGCCATTATTCCACAATCAGCTAGAGTGCCGACCTCATGATCAATAAATGCGTCGACAGTCAACATCAAATGAGCATATAGAATAATAATATTTTACCATATTATTTTGATTTTACTTAAAATTACCTAAATTATTATCTCGATTTTATTTAGCTATATTTTTGATTATTTTTTCTTTTATTACTTTGAAATTACCTTTTTGGATATTTTATTCTTAATTATTATGGATCTCTAATCTTGTATTAAGTCAATTTTACATTATAAAAATAATCTATTTCGAAACCATCTTATTTAGAATTTTTCTAATAAATTATTTATGTAAAATTATTGTTACCAATATTTTAAAACATTTATTATTAGTCCTTATTTCAATTTAACCTTTAGCTAGTATAATTAAATAGGATTAAAATTAATAAATAAAAATTTTGGAAATAAATGAATAAAAATTTTGGAAAAAAAAAGTTTAATAATTATCCAAATGAAATTATCTTTTAAGTCTATAATTCAATAAAGTTATAGGGGGTATTCTATATCATGTAAAAAATAGTGAAAAATAATTATAATTTTTTTTTGTTTATGATATTGTTGTTATATTGTCAATTTAACTTTTATTAAAATTCTATTTAGCTTTCCCAAATAGAGCTTCCTCTTTATTTAAATAAAATTCGCAAATCTATTCCTTAATAATTGAGAAATTATCCATCTAAAATTAAGGCTCCTTATGCCTAAAATATTGTTTATTTTGATATCAAGAGAATTGGAATATGAGAGTTAACTTTATTTAAATTTAAATTCATACCATTTTTTGAAAGAGAATTACCTTAAAAAGGTATTTTCTATTATGCTAAAAGATCTTCAGAACTCTTTACCTTGGATTTCATTTTTTATAGATCCCATAATCGGATTGAATTATCCCAACTGCCAGACGCCAATGTATTGCCATCAGGAGAGTAGCAAACTGACCTTACATTATTAATATGACCATCTAATTTAGATTTTTATTATCCTGTCTTTATATCCCATAAGCGGATAGACTTATCATCACTGCCAGATGCTAATGTAGTACCATCAGGAGAGAAGCAAATTGACCTGACATAACTAGTATGACCATTTAATTAAGACTTTAATTGCCCGTTCTTAACATCCCATAAAAAAATTGAGTAATCATCGCTACCAGATGCTAATGTAGTACCATCAGGAGAGAAGCAAACTGTTTCGACAAAATGTTTATGACCTATTAATTTGGATTTTTATGTTTCTGTATTAACATCCCATAATTAGACAGAATTATCCACACTACCAGCTGCTAAAGTAGTACCATCTGGTGAGAAGCAAACCGAATTTATAGTTGTATTATGACAATCTAATTTAGATTTTTATTATCCTGTCTTAATATCCCATAAACGGATAGATTTATCATCACTACCAGATGCTAATATAGTGCCATCAGGAGAAAAGCAAACTGACCTGATATAACTTGTATGACTATCAAATTTAAATTTTTATTGTCCTGTCTTAAGATCCCATAAGCAGATAGACTTATCTCTACTACCTGATGCTAATGTAGCACCATCCGGAGAGAAGCATACTGACCAAACAGCGCTGGTGTGATCATTAAATATACATTTTTATTGTCCTGTCTTAACATCCCATAAACGAATAGATTTATCATCACTACCTGATGCTATAATGGTACCATTAGGAGAAAAGCATAATGAAGATATAGCACTAGTATGACCATCAAATGTCGGTTTTTATTTACCTGCTTTGACATCCCATAGACGAATAGACTTATCATCACTGCTGGAAGCTAAAATGGTGCCATTAGGTGAAAAGTTTACTGAATTGACACTACAAGTATGTCCGAGGAAATTAGAGTCTTGCTATCCTGTCTTAACATTCCATAAAAAAATAGACTTATCTTTACTACCAGATGCTAATAAAGTGCCATCAGGAGAAAAGCAAACTGATTGCACAAAACTAGTATGGCCATCAAATTTAAATTTTTATTGTCCTGTCTTAACATCCCATAAACAAATAGATTTATCATCGCTACCAGATGCTAATGTAGAACCATCAGGAGAGAAACAAACCGATTTAACATAGCTAGTATGACCATCTAATATAAATTTCTATTGACCTGTCTTAACATCCCATAAGCGGATAAAGTGATCAGAACTTCCAAATGCTAAAGTAAAGCTATCAGGAGAGAAGCAAACTGTACTGACGGAATTAATATTATCTTAGATTTTAGATTTTTTTTTTCTTGTCTTAACATCCCATAAATTAATAGATTAATCATCACTACCAGATGCTAATGTTGTGCCATCTGGAGAGAAGCAAATTTAATTGATAGTATGATAATGTCCATCCAGCTTAAATTTTTATTGTCCTGTCTTAACATCCCATAAACGAATAGATTTATCATTGCTACCAGATGCTAATGTTGAATCATCAGGAAAGAAACAAACAGATTCGACATAGCTAGTATGACCTTTTAATTTAAATTTCTATTGACCTGTCTTAACATCCCATAAACAAATAGAGTCATCACTACTACCAGTAGCCAATATTGCACCGTCATGAGAGAAGCATACTGATTTACTAAGACCTTCAAATTTATGTAACTCATTTATTCTTAAGTTTTTCCATTTGCAATTAATTAACTATGTTTCATTCAAATTTACTCCACTTATATCTACATTTTCAAATTCTGATCCGCTCAGATTGCATCTGGCAAAATTAGCTCCAATCAAAGAAGTGTTTAATATCTTAATATTTTCAAAGCATTTTTTAGTTAGATCAACCTTAATTTGATTTAATATATGCAGTGAATTTGACCCACATTAGACAAATTAGTTGTCAATTGCTGTAAGCTGAACTAGAAATATCAATAATTCAATAATCTTCTATTCTTATGATATTTTCTAAATTAGCTTTCGTTTAATTTCAATGTAGATTTCTGAGTTATAATTATTTTTATTGAAGTCATGATCTTTAATTTAGCTGATAACATTTTTGATTTATTTAATATTATTATAATAAGCCTTAACTTCTTTTAACTTATCCATTTAAAATTCTAATTAGTTATGATTTTCATTTTTTGTAAGTAATCCTTCACATTCTTAAATTTTCTCTTTTTTTAATATTTCAAAAATCGCACTCAAGATTTAATCATCAATATCGTTAATCTATGCTAAAATTGTATATAGATTTTCTTCATATTCAACATTCTAATTCATTTGATTAAAAAAATATTGAATTTCTATTTATTATAAACTAAATCTCTTAATATTATCACAATATAGAAACTTATGTATTTATGCCAAGAAAAACACGAAACTTGCTAAAATTTGGAGTTGATGGATAATTTGAGAAATAAATTCAAAGTTAATTCAGTATTACCTTGTAATAATCACCATTTCTTATACAAACTTGTAATATCTTGTTAGTTTATTTTTAATGTTTAAAATCATATAATTCACCAAATATAATTAAAAAATTCTTATTAGAATAGATTAATATCATATGAAAATTTTTAATCTTTTTTTATGACACAAAATTGGGATCTTATTAATTTTGTTCAAATACTACGTAATTTTTATCTGAATATGAAATTTAATGTGGAATTAGAACAATTTCTGGGAAATTTAATTAGTGCAATCTCAATAGAGTAAAAAATAATGATAAATAGAACTAACTTGCGAATGTAATAAGTTTGGTGACATTTTCCTCTTAAGCTCAAAAATTTTAGTATTGTTAATGTAAACAACACTATAAATTAATTACCTGATCTTAAAATTGATTCATAAGCCAGCTCCTTCTTATTATATTCTTGATGAAACCTAATATCACTATGTAGGTTTTTTACTTACTGAAGTATTATTTATACTATTTTAGAATAAAAATGCAATCAGAATAATATAAAATTGCAACAATCTTTGGAGGAAATATACTAATATCTCAAGTACTTTTAGAATCTATAATTATTGTTGGAAGAATAATCATTTATAGATTTATAGCCACAAGTTTGAAAAATATGGATCTTAATCCACTATATTATTTTATGCATTTTTTTGTAATGCATAGCAGTTTAGAAGAAATATTTGAAGATTACGTAAGGATTTGATAAATAATTTATATAAAGATATTAAATATTTTATAATTTTATCAAAACAAATTTAAAAATAACATTCAATTATTATATAAATGATAATTTTAATATATATATATAAAGATCAAACAATCAATGATAAGAATTTGAGTGATTTTAAACTTTTATATATAAATAAATTGTTTTCGTAAAGTCTAAACTTGTAAGATCAATTATTTTAACGAATATAGACAACCAATTATCTTAATGTTTAACTTAAAACTATCCTATTAGGCTAGATCTATAAATTATTTTACAACATATTTTATTAATTGTGAGAATAGCTACATTATTAGCATAAGCAAAATTTAGAATGTTTAAATAAATTAAATTATTTTTCCCTAACTACATTCTTTCTTAGTACTTTTCTGACCAGTCGATATAATCTAATTCTTCTCAAAAGTCCTCTATCAACTGATTAAAGAAAATATTAAGCTTAAAGGAAACTATCAAGGTAACTTGATGTACACTATATAAAAATAAAAAGAACCTAATAGTTTATTAAGTGATATAGGGTAATGAAAACTAATATGTTTATGCTTGTAATCATATATTATTGTTTAGAGTATTAAAGTACAATAATGATAATAATAATCATTTTATGATATTTTAGACATTTGTTTTGAATTAAAATATGTTTGCAAATTTTATGTAAAAGTATAGATAAGAGATAAAATAAAACATCTTATTTTTCCTATTCAAAATGCATTATTTTTACAAAAAGTGTAACGGTCTTACTTTTATAGACCATTTAATATCTTTTAAATATTCTTTATGTATATTTGACTATTAGGCTGCTCTAAAAAAAATATTTGCGAATTTATTCTTATAAATTATAATATTTCTGATAAATTTTATTTACAAATAACAAATCCAAAAGTGAAATCTGTAAAGCACTTATTAGAAGTCCTTTTTTGAAAAGAAAAAATAAGACTTATTTACTTGATAATCCCTTAGAATATCCAAAACAATCGATTGTGATAATGTTTAAATTTAATAATTCTCAAAAGAAGAGACATTAAAAAAGAGATTAATTTAATAAGCAATTTAATATCCATTTTCATATCATTGAAATACAAAATATATATTATGTTTAAATTTTATTTCTATTAAAACTATTAGTTATGATAAGTTGAATATAATTCTCAATACTAAATAAAGATTCACAAATTCCACCTTTTCATCACTTCAGAATTAATATCTGTAGTAAATTTTATTAAATCATTATCTTTAAGTGTTAAATCAGCTGCTTATATAGCCATAGCCAAAGCCATAATAAATTAAGCTGCTGATTTGTATTGATAAAAAGTTGAGTTTTATTTTGCCTGCTAACATTGGAAACTAGCATCCTTTATAAAATAACTCTTGCATCCTTATTGATTACAGAAAATATCCCCTTTAGCTGAAAGATATGAATATTTTGAGCAACTTAGATGACTCCATTCTCTTAATTCACTAGATTTGCATATGCAATTAGGAGGACAAGCGCACTTTAATCTTACCGATGTTATATTTGGATGAGGATTCATTAAAATTATACTATATACATCCTAAAAGAAATTAACATTATATTTATATTTTATTCTATTAAATTGTTTACAAATTAAATAAATACATTAATTAAAGAAAAAAAAGTGAACTTTAATATTTGATATATTTATTTTCAGTTTTTTATTAACATTATTGTATAATTCAGATACTAAGTACAATGAAAATTCTCTTCATAAAAGATTAATAATGAATTATAAATACTATAAATTAATTTCTAATAAACTATAATTTTTATTATTAAATATGTATATATAAATAATATAAAATGTACATAAATTTCAGGTATTTTAGAAGATTGCTAGATAAATTATCATCCAAATTGGCAAAGTAAATATACATCCTAAATATCCATATAATAAGATCAATGATACAACATCTTCAGCATTTTATTAGTATTGTTTAGCCATAACTAAAATATTAATAGCAGATGGAGTACAAAAGGTTATAAATAAAATAAATAGTTGACAAACATCAGTCATTATTGATAATTTATCTAATAATAAAATAGTAATTAATCCAAGAAAGGGTAAAAATATTAATCTATTTGCCACTATTTAAATGATTGTAGATATCTTTTCTTATTAAGATGAATTATTAAAATAAATTAAATATAGATTTGATCCTAGAATCATTAAAACAGATGGAGTTGTTGCTTTTGAGATTGTTTATAAAGGTAAGAATATAGCACTATGCAAAAAAGTATCATTTACTAATTCATCTTAAATTGGATAAATTACTAAACAACATAATGATGCTAGTACTGATATTAAAGGCATATTCCAAAAAGACTTTTCTGATTTTTATTCATTTTTGTTTTATGATTATTACTCTGGTAAAGCTATTCTTAAATCAGAGAGTTCAATTTCAGCTTGATTCTAATCAGTTTCATGTTATTCCAATATTCTTTTTCCTATAGACCATCTTAAAGCATTAACAATCACAGTTTAAATAATAATTATGGTAACTAATTTCACTTCAATTTATTTTTCTGGTTATTCTGTCATTTTAGATAAATAGGATGCTAATCCATAAGATAGTTATAATTAAATATTAGTAGTGTGTGGATTTGCAGATGATAAAATGACAATAGAGTTTAGTTTTTTTTCTTTAATCCAAAATCTATTACTTACAATTCCTATGCAATAACCAAAAAATAAGCAACAAAATGTTGTAATTATACTAGGTATTAATGATGCTAGAGAACCAATAGTGACAGCTTTAAGAAAATTTGTAAAAATCAAAGATGGGAGAAATAGTCTTTCAACTAGACTGGATAAAGTTGTTGTGAATTATTTGTTCATGACCTTATTATGGGTTAAAAGGGCACCACTACCTGCTATGGCTAACACACCAAAGGTTGCTGAAACTACCGCTCGTATAATATTTATAAAAATCATAAACAAAATTTAATGAAAAACAATTAAGTTTCTTAATAATAACATTTTTATTTTCTAAAATTTAAATTAGTCTACAGAGATTTCTAATTTAAATTAAGAAACTATTTTATTAATTTATATATGTCTGCCTTCTTTAAATAAATAAATATTCTTAAATGATATTAATAATAATAATAATGTACAAATCTGTAAAAAAATTATATTCATGCAATAAATATCATTAAATATATAATCATCCATAAAGGTAATGTTATTATGGATAAAAGATAACTGTATAATAATATAACTGTTACTATTTCTTAGGCTGATCATAGGTATTATTTTGCCAATAATAGTATATTAATCGATGATGGAGTGCAAAAGGTTAGAAATAGCATAAATAATTGAGATTTATCATCAATTATTTTCTGATTATACACAAATATCACGATTATCATACCAATTATTGGCATAAATAGTAATCTGTTAATTACTATATATAATATTGTTGAATATTTTTCAACTTTATCTTTAGTTCCCATATAGATTTCATAAAGACTACTTCCAAGAATTATCAATACTATTGGAGATGTTGCTTTTGATATGGTTTAAAGTGGTACAAAAATTGTATTGTAAATTACTTGGTTATTAAGTATTTAAGTTTAAACTATTGGGATACAAATACAAGCAATTGAAACCAAAGCAGCACTCAAAGGAGGATTCCAAAATGATTTTTATTTAATTTCAATATCACTTTTAGATGGTTATTAATCAAATTATGAGACTAAAGTTCTGATAGATTTGTCATTTCTAATTCAATCTCTTATTATTGTAAGATACTTTTTCCTATGGTCCATCTAATTGAGGTCACAATTACTGTTTAAATAATAACAGTAGATACAAGTGTTGCCTCAATTTATTTTTCTGGTTTACTAGTCATCATAGCAAACCATTTACTTAGACCATAACAAAGTTATAATTGTAAATTTGTAGTATGAGGATTAGCAGAAGCTATAATGACAACTGAATTCAGTCCCTTCTCTTTGATCCAATATTTATTGCTGACCATTCCTAGGATGTAACCAAAACATAAGCATAACAAGGTGATGATGATACATGGGATGTATTAATTAAGTTTTTCCAGTGTGAGACTCTTTAAAAAATTAGTAAAAATTAATGCTGGAATGAATAAATGCTCAGTTAAACATGAAAGTTAGCTAGTTAATTGTTTAGTGATAATTTTTTTATGAGTTAAATAAGCACCAAAGCCACTAATAAAAAATACACCAAAAGTTGTTGAAACAACTACTTGGATAATAGTTAATATCTACATTTTAAAATATATAAGAAATAATTTCGAATATAATTTAAAAGTATTCAAAAATATCCTGATTAAACAAATTAATTATAAATTGTAATGACGAAATATACTCTTATTTTTGCTTTGCTTTTAATTTGTAGTTTTGGAAAGAAAACCATCTATGATAGATTACATGGAACTCACATTGAAGAAGAATTTGAAAATGAAATTGTTACAGAGATTACAATGTATGAAGAAGAAGACCCTAAATTAAAATATGAGAAGATGATGAATACATTTATGAGATTAAGTATGTGATATAGAATTCTATTTAGATGAGACATAAGTAATAGGTTGTAGAAAAACAGATCATCATGAATTTTTTGGAATGTTTTTTTAGAATGCTGGAAGAATAGGAAATGATGGTTAAAATAATATTAGATTGATCAAATATGAAGATGATTGTTATGAATCAATGAGAGTATCATATGAAACCAATGAAGCAGAAAAGTTAATTCTATATTGTATATAATTTTAGTCGTGTATGTGTTACATTCACTCCAGGAAAATACAAGAATAGTTAATAATGTTCTGAATTCTATTTGATAGGCACAACCTTGAATTATAATATTGTCAACATTAAAGATTGTAAAATTATTTAAATTTATTTTATTAAAGAAAAAGAACATAGAGTCTATTTTAATTTCAGAAATCAAAAATAAGTTGAAGCTTTTAAATATTCAGGTGCATACATATTTAGAACATGTGATTATTTAGAGAATTGGTTTGGTGATCTATTAATGACATTAGAATTATTTTTTGGTGGATTTTCTAGTAACCCATATTTAGGTCCAATTTTTGGAAGGTACAATAATATAAAAATATAAGTCATCCACCTGATTGGATGGTAAGATCAAATATAGAATTAATAGAAAGAGCAACTGGTTATAGATGGCAAGAAAGACCGAATGTTGTTGTTGATTTAAAGGCAGATGAAGTAAACAATGGAGATTTTTTAGCAGTCACTAGATTTGATGGATTAGATTAAATTATAGAATGGGGAACTGGAGGTAGAATTGGACATAGTGCTATGATCTTTGAAATTGATGGTGAAAAATATGTAATTGAATCATAAGATGCTTGGTATTGGCCAACAAAAAAAATACAAAAAACTAAATGGGAAGATTGGAAAGTATATGCTAAAAATGCTGGATTTAATGTTGCTGTTTTACCATTAAGTCCAGAGAAAAGAGCATAATGGGATTAAGAAGCAGCTATGGAATATTGGAAAAAGATGGAAGGATAACCATATGGATATCACACTTTTTTATTTGGTTGGATAGATACACCAAAAGATAATTATCCAAAACCATTAAGTGCAGAATTTGCTACTTATTTATTCTCTTTCATTGAAAAAATAGCACCAGGACCAATCACATCTTTAGTAGGAGAAGCTTTAAATAAAAGATTAGGTACAGAAGGTTTATCAGTGTCAGAAATTGCAATAGAAGCTGCAAAATAAGGAATTGAATTGGTAAAATAACTATATATATATATTTATAGAGTGACCTATACGCTATGGTAGAAAGAGATGAATGGATTTATAGTGATGGTCCAAGTCAAGCTTGTGCTGCCTTTGTAACTGCCATGTATAAAGCAGCTGGATTATTCAAACCTTTCCACATTGAAGCACTTGAGTAAAAATAATAAAATTAATATAGGTTCACACCAAAAGATATCTATCAATTGAAATTCTTTGATTCTAATTATGTAGTTCCAGAGAAATGCAAAATAAATGATCCAGATCTACCTTATTGTTAATTAATGGGAACTCACAGAATTGAATTAGAATGGTATAATACAGTTGAACCATATGAAAATATGAATTAAAGATGTCCTAGTATTGCTCCTGAATACATAAGACCTGATGGTTGTTGATTTCTTACATAAAAACAAGATATTTATCAAATATATTTAGATTTTGTATTAAATCAAGGTAAAAAGTTATCTTCTACTCCATCTTAGAATTATTCATCATCTAAATTTTATCTTATATTTGTTTTAGGAGGTGGTTGTTTATTGCCTCTCCTATTATTGAAATATAATTATAATTACCTTGTATTATTAGTGAAACTAACAGGATTATCATCTCCTTAAGGTAATCGAACTTATTCATCTTCATTATTTATTAAATTTAAATCTTGACCTTAATATCCTTCCATCATTTCCATTTCTCTTTCTAATTTTCTTAATTAACCTGCATATTCTTCATAAGGTAATCCCATTTCTCTACATAATTGCACTAAGAATCGGAGACCTAAAGTATTTAATACTTTTTAATACATTCAATATTATCAGGATAATCAGAATAGATTTTCTAATAGTTTCCTAATGCTTTTTAAAAATGTCCCATTCTTCTATAACAACTAGCAACCATCAATTTCCATTTCACATCTCTTGTCTATACTTATGCTGCTCTTTCAAAATACAAACTTGCCTTCTCATACATTTCTTATTTCACATAATACACACCCAACCATGATATTGTATCAATGTTTGTTGGTAATATTCTATAAGATTCTTAAAAATAATGCAATGCTTAAGGTTCATCATCTTCCTATTAATTATATGATATTATTTACTCTTGCAAATAATGATCCTAATCTAGCTAGAATATTGGGATCATTAGGTACTTTGTTCAATAATTCTAGATACCATTTCATAGCTTATTTTGAATTTCCAGTCATTTCATACAATGCGGCCATTTAAAATAAAACTTCAGGAATACATACAATAGTTTATAATTTGTCCAATGCTTATAAAGATTCAACAAACATATTCAATTTTCTATTTACATATGCTAAATTGTAAAGTGCTTCTATACAATCTGCTTCAACACCTATAGCTTCTAGATATTATTCTTTGGCTCTCAAGAATTCATTTTTCACATATAAACAATTTCCTCTATTTACTAATGCCTTTGCATTATATCTATCGTATGTGATAGCAATTTCAGCATATTTTTCAGCTTATTTATAATCATTTTCTAAGAAATACAAAAATGAGATATTTGTAGCAATACGAGCCATAATTAATTTATCTTTTTTTTCAAATCCTTTTAATGTTTCAATAGATTTCTCAATATTCTTTTTTTTTAAATAAGCCATTGCCTTACATATTTCAATTTCTGTTTCAGCTTCAGGGAATGTAGAATTTTTTAGTTATTCTAATATCCATTCATATCCAACTATAATATCATCTTCAATTAATGGAGCAATCAATTTTGCAGAAGTAACAATATAATATATAGCTTCTCTTCTTCTTTCTTTAGTATCTTCTCTTAATTTATCTGTAATAGTAGTTCCCTTATTTTCATTATTTTCTTCCTCACTCTCTCCTGGTATTTCAATAGTTAATAGAGTAACAAAGTAGTCTTTCATTTTATTTTTATTTCCACTCAAATATAAACAAATCAATAGATTAAATCCAGTTGTAAAATCAGGTGAACTTTTGAGTATTTATTCATATGTAGTCATTGCCTCTTTGATTTTTTCTTTGCCCAACCTTACTTATGCATGACCAATATTCTTTTGGATTTTGAATCTCATTTCTTTTGATGTGGCAGGAATCAAATCCAAAGCCATTTTGTACATTTTAATTGCAGTAGTATATTTTTTTTATTCAAAATATATGTTTCCCATATTGACTCTCAATCTTCCTGCTTGTGGATATTATTTACATTTGATTATTTCTTAATATTTTGTTAGAGCATCTTAATGGAGTCCATTAGCATGTAAAGCACATGCTTAAGTTAAGGCTGCACAATAACTAAGATCTGTGTTTATTGATTCTACTAAATTTTAAGCTTCTTTAGATTATCTTAATTTCTTTTCTTTATTGAATGCTTCTTTAGCTTTTTCCAAACATTCAGATAGATTGCCTCTTAATTTAGCGATAGCACTCTATTCTATTAATGTATTAATTTCTTTTTCGATGGCTTTAAATTATTCTTCAGGATTTGTTTCAAGTTTTGGTTTATTCAAATTAATTTGATTTTGAGTAGAATTGAATGGATCCTTTTTTTATCCAAAATTGGCTCCTCTATTAGATGTCATAGGTCTAGCTTCGGCTTAAGGTTGTCTAGCAGCTGTACCTAAAGGTTTTCCTCTGGATGGTTATGGTCCACTTGGTGCAGGTTATTATGCCTAAACTAATATGAATGATATTTTACTCTAACATTTTCAAAATTATAATTATTAACAGGTGGTTTACCACTAGTTTGATTGAAATTATTACCACTCATACCAAAGGCTCCATATTAAGATTAATTCATATTATATAAATATATATTATTATTATTTAAATTTTGTTTAATCATTCTCCAAGAAACAGAATTTTACATGAATTGAAAGCATAGAAGAACATTTAGAATTCATCATATTACATATTTAATTTACGTAATGATAATTCTTTTTACATATTAATCTATAAATTATATATAAATATTAATTACTTCGTCTGTTGCTCTTTATGATTAATTTGGTTTTGTTGTAGCTAAAGTTTTAGCTGATTTCATATCAAGAGTGAATTTATTTTTTATTTCTTTTCTCCAATGAAGAGAATCAAATTATGCTTTTTAATCTAATAAAGTTAAGAAAAATTGAATTCCTAAAGTAAAACCATCATCCTATATATTATTATAAATAAATATTTACACTAATAAATACTTCAGTAGTTGAATTCTTTTTACCTATTTGATCTTTTGAAATTAACATTTTTTCAATGAAATTCAAAGTCAATGTAGGTACAATTAAATAAAATAGAGACAAATGTTCATTTTCTGGTGTATTGATACTTGAAAATGCCTTCAACAATAAATTTATATAATCAATTTTCTCTGAAAAACTACTTTTATATAATGTAAATATCTCTTCTAATTCTTTTGCTGTACTAACTGTTGCATCTATTATTAAATATTATATTAATATAATTACCACTAAATCCAGCTTCTCTTGTAAGTGATTCTAATTAAG